CCCATCATTGGTGTCAGTGGGGGGTGGAATAGTGCCCCATCATTGGTGTCAGTGGGGGGGGGGAATAGTGCCCAATCGTTGGTGTCAGTGGGGGGGGGAGGAATAGTGCCCCATCGTTGGTGTCAGTGGGGGGGAGGAAAAGTGCCCCATCGTTGGTGTCAGTGGGAGGAATAATGCCCCATCATTGGTATCAGTGACACCAACGATGGGGCACTATTCCTCCCACTGACACTTGCTGACCTCTGTTCCAGTACGGTGCGGCTGCAGCCAGCATATGTGGTTGCAGCAGCACCTAAGCACGGCACACTTACCTGCATCTCCACTCGATTTTCGCGGGGCCGCTCAGCTCCGCCTCCTCGCCGGTGATTGGCCGCCTGTGTGCCTTTCCTGAGCTACAGTTCTGGCGGCCAATCACCGGTGAGGAGGCGGAGCCGAGTAGCCCGCGCGAACATCCAGTGGACGAACCGAAGGAAGGAGCAGCCGCTTCCTGGACCGGATCGTCATGGGACCGGAGCCAGGTAAGAGACAGCAGCCCCTGCCCACCCCTGTACTTAGTTTCCCTTCTGCTGGAAGGGGGGGGGGCGGCGGCGGCACCGCGCCGCCCCCCTAAAAAGTGTCAGCATACCGTTACCGGCGTATAAGACTTTTGAGAAGATTTTCAAGGGGTAAAAAGTCATCTTATACGCCGGAAAATACGGTACCCACTTACAGTATATACAAACAACACGTTCAGTGAACCAGATGATCTAGTTTGACACATATATGACTGCATAGAAGGTAACTCTATTTTGCAATGCTTTCTGAAGTGCAAGTATGGTTTTGTTCCCTACATGTGAATTCAATATCCACATACTCAATAACAAAACTGAATCTGTAAATACAAAGCCATCTAAAAATGGCACAAGATTGCAAAGTGACAGAATACAGTTCCATGGGGACCACCTACAAATGCAGCTAAATTAGACCACAACCTGATAACTAACCCCTTTGTTGTGATTACATGTAGTGATTTTTTTCAACAAAAGAATCTATTTTTATCAAAATAAAAGTATTATACATAGAATGAAGTATCTAAAATGTGAATTTGTATGGATTAGATACCTAAGATTCATTGACCAAACAGAATCAGCAACAGTCCTTTTAGGAGAGATATTTAAGTATGCTCAAGGCTTTGTAAAGAAATAACCTTTTATAACATTGGCAAGGAGAGCACCAATAAACTTTCAAAAACTTTTATTTACAGGCTGGAAGGTAATAACATCAGTTACAAGGCCATTGAACAATTTTCTGACATATCTTCTCTCAACTCAAGCTTAGCACATGTTGTGTAAGTATCCATGTTTTATTAACTTTTGGAAACCATTTTGCCTTTCATGGTAATAAGTAATGTGTTAATGTGTTAAAGTGCCCATACATATGACATGTACATGGAGAGTGCCTGACCTTTCTGCCTATTTGTTACTGCTGCAATACTGTTAGGTGGGAAAATCAGTGTGTATCTGTTTGAATTAATACTGCATCTGCGTATGTATCCAAATTTATATCGCCCAACTCTCCTTCCCTGATGATCCAGAAGTACAGCATTTGTACAAAATGACTTAATCATCAAGAATTTAACAAACACTAGGCTTGTATTTGTAACAGTTTTGGAAAAGTGAAGTTAAAATCCGTCAATAGCCTAAACAATGTTTACATTTTGAATAGAGAGTGGAAGGATTAGAACTCATATCAAGTTTGGAATAGAAAGTGGAAGGATTAGAACTCATATCAAGTTTTGAATAGAGGGTGGAAGGATTAGAACTCATATCAAGTTTGGAATAGAGAGTGGAAGGATTAGAACTCATATCAAGTTTTGAATAGAGAGTAAACTCATATCATATCAGTGGAAGGATTAGAACTCATAGCAAGTGGAAGGATTAGAACATATCATATCAAGTTTTGGAATAGAGAGTGGAAGGATTAGAAACTCATATCAAGTTTGGAATAGAAAGTGGAAGGATTAGAACTCATATCAAGTTTTGAATAGAGGGTGGAAGGATTAGAACTCATATCAAGTTTGGAATAGAGAGTGGAAGGATTAGAACTCATATCAAGTTTTGAATAGAGAGTGGAAGGATTAGAACTCATATCAAGTTCTGAATAGAGAGTGGAAGGATTAGAACTCATATCAAGTTCTGAATAGAGAGTGGAAGGATTCAAACTCATATCAAGTTCTGAATAGAGAGTGGAAGGATTATAACTCATATCAAGTTCTGAATAGAGAGTGGAAGGATTCAAACTCATATCAAGTTCTGAATAGAGAGTGGAAGGATTAGAACTCATATCAAGTTCTGAATAGAGAGTGGAAGGATTCAAACTCATATCAAGTTTTAATAGAGAGTGGAAGGATTAGAACTCATATCAAGTTTTGAATAGAGAGTAGAGAGTGGAAGGATTAGAACTCATATCATGTTTTGAATAGAGAGTGGAAGGATTAGAACTCATATCAAGTTTTGAATAGAGAGTGGAAGGATTAGAGCTCATATCAAGTTTGAATAGAGTGGAAGGATTAGAACTCATATCAAGTTTGAATAGAGTGGAAGGATTAGAACTCATATCAAGTTTGAATAGAGTGGAAGGATTAGAACTCATATCAAGTTTGGAATAGAGAGTGAAAGGATTAGAACTCATATCAAGTTTGAATAGAGTGGAAGGATTAGAACTCATATCAAGTTTGGAATAGAGAGTGAAAGGATTAGAACTCATATCAAGTTTGGAATAGAGAGTGGAAGGATTAGAACTCATATCAAGTTTGAATAGAGTGGAAGGATTAGAACTCATATCAAGTTTGGAATAGAGAGTGAAAGGATTAGAACTCATATCAAGTTTGGAATAGAGAGTGAAAGGATTAGAACTCATATCAAGTTTTGAATAGAGAGTGGAAGGATTAGAACTCATATCAAGTTTTGAATAGAGAGTGGAAGGATTAGAACTCATATCAAGTTTTGAATAGAGAGTGGAAGGATTAGAACTCATATCAAGTTTTGAATAGAGAGTGGAAGGATTAGAACTCATATCAAGTTTTGAATAGAGAGTGGAAGGATTAGAACTCATATCAAGTTTTGAATAGAGAGTGGAAGGATTAGAACTCAAGTTTCACTGCCATCAGAAGTTCAGTTGGAGAGATTCCTTCCTGCCTGGCTGTCCCTAGGACAGGAAGTGAGGGGAAATCACTCTAACAGCAACACAGACAGAAACAAAAAAGTTGAGGAAATCCAGAACCTCTATTAGCATTTTATTATTTTCTGTTTCTCTGTTGCAGACTTTTCCTCACCTTCTGTGTGGAAAAACGCTGTCCCTAGAGTAGAAAGTGAGGGGAAATCTCCCTAAAAGATACATTAAAACCTAACAGGGGTTCCAACCTTTTCCCATTCTATCCAAAAAAATAAAAAAGTTTTGGGTAAAGGTACACTTACTTTTTAAAAATGTCTTCAGGCCAGTCACATGAGTCCTCTATCTCTGGTTGGGCAGTTCTCAATGACGGAGAAAGAAACACTAAACTGATGATGTCAATGATGTGCTTTGCATCATTGTTCTGTAAGTGCTGGGTGCCATATTGAGGTCTCCCTTGGGAGGATTTATGACACCTTGCACTTAGAGGAATTAGGCAGAATGAGGCTGGGCGCCATTCAACCTGTAAAAGAACTGGTGCTGGATTTCAGAGCAGGAGATGGTGCCAAACAGGAGGTGAGTATTGCAGTAAGAGATGCTTTCTATTTTATAATTGTTTGGGAACTACTGTATTTAAAAACATGAAAATGGAATTGAGTTTTTAAGCCTGACTTGTATTATGATTTGGTTTAAGGTATTATGCATCTGACATATGTAAAACCTTTCTTTGTACAGCACAGAGGGATCATGGACTTTCCATTTCTGAGTCAAGACTAAATTAGATTAGACTAACACATCTGTCTTTTTAAAAAAAAGAAAAATCAGTTCATAGTAACTGATACAGCATGTGTTACTAACAATTAGGTTATTTGACTAAAGGAATCTTTTTGCTTTGGCTTTCCCCTAATGTGATCCCCCATCCTATTCCATTTGAATTTAAAAAAAATGTATAAACTAAATATCAAATATCCAATAAAGTAAGTATTCATCTCCAAATAATTAAAATGTTTTTCCCTCATCTTGATTTTTTTTTTCATTTAGGCTGCTGGGAAATAATCTCGAATCAGATGATATTGCAAACTTGAAGGAAAAATCTCTGAAAAGCATCATCGTTGCCCACATAGATGAGAATTATGGCCAGGTGTTTTGGGAAGGATGGTGGGACTGGATATTTCAACGGTGCAAAATGTGCAATGATGAGAAAATTGTCTCTTTCCTGACTAAAGTGTACAGAGGACTTAGCCTTTGCAATGGAAAAGAAACAGAGTGGATGAGACAATGGTATTCTCAAGTGGATTCCTTTTTGCAGGAGAGGATACATCATTGTGCAATTAAGAACATTTGCAAGAGAATGGAGGCTCTCAGAATGATGTTTCAGGAACAGTTAAGGAAAATGTGAAACATGAACCTTTCCTGGAGATTAAAACTGAACACTGCAGAGACATTTCAATTTTATTACAGCCATCAGAATAGAGTACATTTTTCATATTATATTTAAAACGTAATATGAAATAAAGAGGTGCCTTGTGTTTCAAGAACATGGCATAAACTTACACCTTTCAATGACTGTTGCCTAAGCTTGGCCAGCCTCTTTTTAATATTTAAAAAGAGTCAGAATGTAAAAAAATATACTGTCCATAATGTTCATATTAAACACGGATTCTTACACCAACCAGTTATGGTTAGTGAGATTTGTTGTGTACTATTACAAACAAGAGGTTACCAATACAATATTCTGCTAGGCCTTGCCAGCTACGCTTGTTCTTGTTTGGCGTATTTGCTATATTTTGGGGAATTCAGCAATTGTGTTCTGCTTGCTTAAGGATTCTGCAACCAGATAATGGCTGTTATTATGTTAACCTCCCTGGCGGTATTCCCGAGTGTAGCTCGGGGTAAAGTTTCAGTACCAAAAGCGGTAACCCCGAGCTACACTTGTTGCGGCTCAGGGATTCCCTGCAGCGCTTACCTTGTCCTTCGCTCCCGTGATGCGTCCCGTGCAGCCTTCCCGGCCATCTCCCCCGGCCGATGCCGGCATCCGACTTCCGTGTTCCGGTCCCTGCGAGCGTCCGGACGTACGGAGGCCGGAACAGCCGCAAATTTAAACATTTTTCTCATTTTCGGAGAAATGAATTTGACATAGTAAAACATTACTGTATCAAACCATTTCACATACATTTTGTCCCTACTGCTTTCTCCTGTGCCCTGCCTGCATTTTGACTGTTTTTTCTGCCTGGAAACTTAGAAAAGTGCATGGCATCCAAAAAGAGTCCCTTTTGGTCAAAAGCGGTTTTAGACCAGCAAGAGAACAGCAATAGTAAATCAGAACCACTTGCAGAATTGAGTGATAATGATTTGTGGGGAAATTCGTCATCAGACACTGAAAACGATTTTGCGACTTTGCTCAGTGATGTGCGAACTTGGCGCTATATTTAAAATTTCAGTGTTTTTGGTTTGATTATATTATTGAATTAAATTTATTATTATTATATTATTATTTTTATGATTATTTATTAAATTATAATTTATGATTTTGTGTTTCAAGTTTTATCATACCCGGGATGTTTATTAGACTCTTGTTCGGACAGATTTTAGTGAGTTATTCCTAAAAATTACAGGCCTACAATAAACAAAATACATATTTCTATGCAAAAAAATGTACCGCTTTCAGCACAGAAATATGGACATAATCAGACCGCTAGGGAGGTTAAACCTGAATGCGCTATTGACACCTGTAACTTTTTTTTTTTTTTTTTTTTTTTAGGAGCTTACCTTACATTAGAATGCAAGCTATATCCTAACTAGTCTTAAAAATGTTCCCTTCCCCCTCCTAACAACTTTACCACCTAGCCTGTGTGAAAAAAGATATATACTTACCGATTTTCAGCCCATTCCAGTCCAGTCACTTGATTCGGCTCCCCTGCGTCAGCCAGTGTCGGCTGCATGGGAGAAGAGGGAGTGTCAACAAAGGCTGTACAATGGGAGTCTATGGGTGATATCACTGCAGTCATCGTGGGGTGTTCTGTCTATTCCCCTGAAGCCGCCACTGGGTGACATAGTAGATCACATGACCAGACTAGACTTTAAAGCTGATGGTTAACATTTGTGCATTGTGGTGTGTTAAAATGCATGTGTGCTGTGTATATGCATTGGGGTGCCATTCAAAATTCAGAAATCACAGAACGTTGCCCTTTAATTTGCTTACCATTATTGCTAGATAAAACACATTTTACAGCAAAACACAATGGTATAAAGCTACCCTGAGGCAAGCAAAGCCCTATGCTTTGTAAAGAATGATAAAAAAAATGTGGCTTTGATTGGTGATGTGACAGGACTTACCTCTTATCTGATACTGTTCTCTGCAGCATTATGCAGAGAACACACTGCAAGATGTTGGAGTCTCCATACTGCACTCTGCATTTGACCTACATTATGCTATGCGGAGAGCGCATACTGTTTCTCTGTTTTAAATTGGAACTGTAGAGTCATTTTCATTTCTGGTACTCACAAACTCAATGGGGTAAATTAATTAAAAGGGACCAAGACAAATTTAATCTCAAATGGAGAGCAGCCAATCACCTTTTAGATTTTTCTGTGTGGAAAAAAAATAGCACTAGCAATAGCACCAGCTGAGAGACACTTTTTTTTATTTTTGCCACCTGTGTGGTTTTTTAGACAGAGGCTGAGTAGCGGCCTGGGATGAGTCAGCCTGTGAATGATACAGGAGTTCACCTCAGGACAAGCTAGGGAGGTTCTGAAAGTCAGAGCTTCTGGAACACTACCACTTTTTCAGAAACCTGACAGCTTTCTGAAGGAGGGATGGAGGAGAGGAGGAGACTCAGAACTGCATGCTTGAGGGACCTTGGCCAATCCGCTGGCAGGAGGTTTGGCATGGTGACCAAGGCAACCCTTAAGTATCACAGAGCCTGGGAGCAGTCAGTGCAGTGTCAGGTGGAAGATGGAGAGGAAGGCTGAAGGGAAGAGCTTGGGAGAGGGCCCCAGGGTGGGGAGAACACCTGCAGGCAGAATTCTAGAAGGGAGGATCTCTGTCCCATCGTCTCCTTGGGAGGATGGCCTGTGAAGCAGGGAAGGAGCCACCAACCCACCAAGCATACAGGGAAAGCCAGAGTGAGTACTCCTACACCCCCTGGGCCTGATAAAGGAAGAGGGCAGTCAGGTGCAATACCCAACTAATCTGCATCCGGGACTGTTCTCAGTCTACAGTTCTTGGGCTCCCTTGCCCAAAGAATACTCTCAAGCAGCTGGATGAGGAGGAGGATTCATCTGGGGTCTGAGGAGGTACACCAAGGAGCTTTGGATGCTCTTAGAGGAGAGACTATTTTTGTCCACATTTTTTCTACATAGTTACTTTACGTTGTCCTCAAGCTTACAGTTTCCTTGGGCATCCTGTATACCCCTAGACCCCTATCCAAGTTGATAGCCCCTTAATAAAACAACAAAACCAAGCTTAAGGACTGTTTACTGCCTCCAGTGTGCAAAGTGTGGAAGAAAATGCTTGTTGCCTGCCCCCTGTGCATAGCTTTAGGGGGACCCAAAACTCAGCAACTCCTAGGGGGGTAGTGCTACACTTTTAAAACCTTTACCTTCTGTTGTATAATACTGTTTGTAGACTACACAATTCAAATCATTAGACAGTTTAGATTTAATGTATAATTGTATTTGAATTTCAAGGTGCATACCTTATATAATATACCTTATAGCTTACTATATCAATATCTACTTTATATATATATAAATATATAGCTAAAGGATACTCACACCATGGCCCATATTTTATGGCCCATTTATAAAAATCAGGGGCACAGTGTAGCACTACCCCCTTAGGAGTCATTGAGTTATTTTCGGGCTCCCTGTTGTTCTGGATCTCGCTCTGAAACCCCAATCCCTGATGACACCACAATACTCTTCTGACCAAAGTAAATTATCAACAGAAAATAGATTCACACACAGATTGCAGTGAACTGATATGATGTTTATATTAAACTTGACTGTGAACTCGGTCAAACAGCATAAAGTGGTATATGTCCTTGCTCAAACTCAAAAAAGCCTATGCAAAAGGTACCAGAGGCATCTCATGGGGCCCCCTACTGACCCCGGGCCCTCAGGCAGTGCCCGAGTTTCCAAATGGTCAGTCCACCCCTGTGCTTAGAGTTGCTAAAAGTGATAATTGCTATTACAAAGAAACAACACATACAGCAAAATCTCAATCAGTGTTAGCAGACCTACTATTCAGATGTCAACCCAAACCTCCAACCTGAGGTGTTTCTAGTCCCCAGTTAGCAAGGAAAACAATAAAAGGTTGAACTATCTCTCTTTGGGCCCTCTGGACCTAATGGCAAGGTTTAAATCTGTTTGAGAGACATTATGACAGTATGGCAGTGACAGTGCCTTTGCAGCATAATGGAGAGTGGTTGGGGCTAAAATTGTGGCTAAGCTGCAACTTTTTAATGAACCTTAAACACAAGTTTCTCATTGAGTGTGTGTAAATCTGACAGGCTGTCAGGTGGAAATGATCCATTAGCTGTGCAGCCTCCAGGAGGCTTCTACACCCCCCATGTGTCCTGCCATTCATCCCAGGCTCTGCTCTTCCATAAGTAAACCTGGGAGCTGTATGATAGGTGCCACCGTTAGAGGGAAGGGAGATCAGAGAACACCTGTTCACTGATCTCCCCTTCCTGTTAATGACAAGGAAGCAACATGTAAAATGTCACTTCTGGATTCTGGTGTCACTGTCCTCAGATAGGATTGCCATTCTGTGAAAATAGGTACCCAGCCAATGAGGTGCTGTGCAAGCTGTGCTGTGCGCAACATCACTTTCTCCCAGCTCCCCAGTCAGTCTCCACGTGGAGCTAACGTTGGCAAGGATTATCTCCCTGTGGAGTTTTATTTTGAAGTTTTATTTTTTTTTGGGGGGTGTGCAAGTAGCTGGGCTTGCCTAGGGAGCAAAATAGTTTAGCATCGGACCTGGCCAAAATACTGTCTTTTATGGCAGATAGAAGTGGTTGCCAATCTATTCCTATTTCCACCCCCTCTTCCTTGTCGGTTCCCTCCTCCTCTGGGGCCACAGTGGGCTTAGAAGGGGATAGAGGAGGCTTGCGTGGGTGAGTCCCCACAGTTGGAGGATTGCTCGTCAGTGTTGGGACTCACACAGCATTAGACAAGGGCAGAAGATTAATCTGGTGGCAAGATTTCTCTGGACCTTTCTTCCTTTCTGAGCAGTTCTGATAAACAGGTAGGTCTGGCAGCTTCCAACAGATGACATATGGTTGAGATTAACAGCAGGCTGTGATTTTATGTTTCCCTGGAACTCCAAGGTTTCTTAGCGGCACTCGGTCCCCTGGCTGAAAATCCTGCAGTTTCACCATAGAATCATGATGCTGCTTGTTCCTCTCCCCTGCAGATTGAGAAGCCTGGTTAGCTTTCTTGTAAGCGGTCTCTAGTTGGTGTTTCAGTCTTTTTACATACCCCTGATGCAGTGGTGTATTTATGTTTTGTGCTGCCCTAGGCAACACAAAAATCACCCCCCAGTGCACTGTCTATAGTGCACCAATGTTTGCTGGGCGTAACTTATTGGTCGGCCACATCTTTCTGTGAAGGTGTCAGTTAGTGGTATGAGCAGCGAGAAGGTGTCATTAGTGGTATGAGCGGAGACCAGGTGTCAGTTAGTGGTATGATTAGCAAGAAGGTGTCAGTTAGTGGTATGAGCAGCGAGAAGGTGTCACTTAGTGGCATGAGCAGCGAGAAGGTGTCAGTTAGTGGTATGAGCGGTGTGTGAAGGTGTCAGTTAGTGGTATGAGCTGAGAGAAGGTGTCAGTTAGTGGTATGAGCGGCGAGAAGGTGTCGTTAGTGGTATGAGTGGCGAGAAGGTGTTGTTAGTGTTATGAGTGACGAGAAGGTGTCGGTTAGTGGTATGATCAGCAAGAAGGTGTCAATTAGTGGTATGAGCAGTGAGAAGGTGTCAGTGGCATGAGCAGCGAGAAGGTGTCAGTTAGTATTATGAGCGGTGTGAAGGTGTCAGTTAATGGTATGAGCGGTGCCTAGGTGTCAGTTGGTGGTATGAGTCAGCCACCTGGCAGTCTCGGTCAGTCACTGGTCAGTCACCTGGCAGTCTCTGGTCAGTCTCGGTCAGTCTATGGTCAGTCACCTGGCAGTCTCGG